AATAAAAAATAAAAAAAAAAAAAACACATGGCAGGCCAGAATTGGCCTTCAGGCCAGCTTTTGCCAACCACTGCTCAAATCTATTATTCCATATTTTCAAAAAAATATAAAATAGAGATGCATTAGTTTTCTTTCAATTTTCTTACTATAACAATTTTAATAACATAAAAAAAATTAAAAATGAGTTCATATACTTGGGTGGCTCATATTACAAAAGATCATTCCTGTGGTTAGGAAACAAGTTGGGTTCTGCTGTTCCAGCTGAAATCCCAGGTCTGGGCAATGAAGGTCTACACGAGGGTTAAATTCAAGTCACAGCTGGTGTATCTTCACCATGCTGCTGAAAGAGAAGGGGGTTGTTCCCAGCAAACCTGGCCACGGCAGAGCCATCGGAAGGTGCTCCACTCAAGGTAACTGACAATGGTTTCAGTAACATTTCCTGAGGCTTCATTAGGACCTCAGTGTGGGGCAAACAGGGATTTTCCCATGGTTACCACAAGGGCTGAACTGCTGGGGGCACTTTCCCCACAAGCATGAGTCAGAAGTAAGCCCACACTGGTACCTCACTGGTGCAAAGAGGATGTTGTTTATAGGAGAAGGGTTATGTGAAGCTAGAGGCAGCACAGGTCAACGTCAGTAACTGTGGGTCCTTCGAAGTGACTGTTGCTGTAAGCTGCCGTGATTTGGGGGCGGGAGGGAGTAGAGTTAAACCTTAGCTGTATTTTTCAAGCATTAAGAGACTGTTGAAGTCTTGCATATTCTTGGAGGCTTTGTTATTGTTGCTTTTTTTTTTCAAGATTTCTTTTTCCCTTTAACTGCTTTATTATCTAATTCAATAGAGAACAGACTCATCCTGGCAAGATCTCAGTAACTGAGGGCAGAGGGACAGTGGGTGTCTGGGGGAGGGTCATAATTGTGGGAGACAGTTAATGCCAAAAACTCAACAGAGAGGATGGATCAAGGAAGGCAGAGCATGCACTTCAAATCAGCAATCAATAAATCTATCATGAAGCACTCATTAAATACCTATTGCCCTGTAGGTCTCTATGGTCTCTGGTACATTCTATACTTATGATCAGAAAGACACAATATGCTTCCAGGGCTGATGGGAGGTCATTGCAAAAGTATAAGGAACATTTTTTTTTAAATACAACTTTGCAGCTTACTGAAGACTCAAAATTTTGTTTATCAGAAAGAGGTTTTATTCAGGGGACATAGATTAACATCCTTTATTTGTGTAAAGAGGTGTTTCTTAATAGTCCCTGTTAAAAAAAGAAAAGCATTTCTGTAGGTTTCCTATTTTATTTGGTAGAGAAAGTTCCCACTGTTCAAAGGCTCACCTTATAAGGATTTGAACAGAGGGACAGATGATCTGATTCATTTGCTGTGGAAGGAGTCCTGATTCTGGAACTCCAGAGGTCCTGGAAGCATTTGTATTAGAGCTTTTCTGCCGACAGTCATCAGAATGATCTGCATGTCCCAGAAGGACATTGAGCCAACACTGACAGAAGATCTGAGCTGCAGTGTCACCCCAACGGCTTGGAGAACTGGAAGCACCATAAACGTCCTCTCCTTTGACAGATCTGCTCTTTTATTCCATATTGAACCAGCAAGAGTCATAGGTAATCACTTTAGGGGAAGAAGGGATGTAGGAGATCAGGTGCCTCCAGGATCTGGGCATGGGTCGGGTAGGTGGGCACTAGAATGTTTAGGATCCTTCAAACTTTGTCCTCTTGCAGGCTGAGTGTAGTCTTTTGCTAACTGACAGAGGACAGAACTTTCTGGGGAGGTAGGACTTTCAGCTTTGACCTACATATTTTTTCCTTGAGGGCAAACATTTTATATGCATATATCTCTCTAGAATCACAGATTAGAAATTTAACTTGTTTTTTGCCCGGGATATTTTATTTTCTTTTAATGTAAAGTAACTTAACTTTATATTATTATTCCCATTTTATTTCTGGGACTCTATATTAAATGAAAATGAATTGGAAGAGGTGGTCAAAAAGGAAGATAGGAGTATGTAGTATGTGTGTTTGGGTGTGTGTATGAATGAGAGTTGCTGTTATATAACAAGTAAAATACAGGATTTGTGAATCAGATAGGCACAGGTGGAAATCCAGCTAACTCCAGAATTTATTAACAACATGATTTGTGGCAAGTTAGATGACCTCAGTTTTTTTTATTTTTTCATCTGTAAAATGGGTATAATCTTAACTGGTTAGCACTAACACACAGAGAAGATGGTCAATAACTGATACCTTTCATTATTATAATGAAAGCTCAGAAACAATGTTATGGTGTTCATGGTCCCAGTCCATAGTGTTAAAAGTTCTATAGCTTTGGATCATTTTACCCATTGGGCTAATGAATCTTCTCATCTGTTGATTTCAGTTTCAGGACTTCATATTTTGAAATGTGCATAGATCTTATGTCATAGGGATTGAAATGGGGAGCCTAGACCCACACGTCATGGACATGAGGGTTGGCCAAGCCATTTTGCACATTCCACATCACAGTTCTTAAACTGGTCATTCTTTTAAAAATTTTCCCTTTTGTGTGCCTAAAGTAAACACAACACTTGGAAGCATATTGGGCTCTTCTAACTCAGCTTGGTCAAATTAGTCATTCTGAAGGTCTAGTAATGCTGCTGCTCAAGATAACCCGGAGTTTTTAAAGTCATACTTATTTGCCAGATTAAGTGAATAAGAAAGAGTATACGTTATCTGAACCTTACTTCCCCTGGAGGGGCCCCAGGAAGAGCCTTCTGGCAGAGGCAGGGAGCAGGGCAGAGGGAGCAGAGGAAATCTGGAAGTCTGTGTTGAGAGGTAAAGCCAGAACTTAAAGACAACGGGGCAGGCCACCTGAAGGGTTACCCTATGGAGGCTGAACAGAGCTATGGGTGCATGAAATAGGATCAGCGGAAAACCTGAGGACAAAGCAGGAGAAAAGAGGTGGGCCTGAGAAAACTCCCTGAGGTGCGAAAAGTGGTTGTAGGCACCTGCACATGGGAATATTGGGGCAGGAGGACTGGGGTAAGGGAGGTAATGAGAGTGCCATGCTGAGCCACACACAGACACACACACACACACACACAGATACACACACACACACAGAGTAGACCTTTAGACCAGATTCTACCGGGGAGTAAAGAGCTCCACAAAAATATTTGTATTCCATGTATGAATTTTACTTCTTAATAGCCTGAAATGATGGGTCTCAACCTTATAGAAATGCTGATATAGACCCAAACCCCCGGTAATTGAATGGGGTTGCTGGGGTGGATCCCAGATATGGATGTTTTTGAAAAGGCCTCCCCAATGACCCTTCTGTGCACCCTGGGTTGAGAACCACCGCCACAACATAAATTTAGCTTATTTGTAATGAGCTGACTGCCATTTGGACTGAACAGTCAGGCTTACAATGCTTTTATTTGCGATTTGAGCATTTTCTTTCTTTGCTGTTGCTGTCAACCATCCCATCTGAAGGAGCTGTTTGTGCTCTCTCTCTTCTCCTGTAGTCTACTTTGAATCTTCTAAGGATGCTTATATTATCTGGGGAAGCTGCTAACCAAATTGTTAGAACTGTGGTTCATGATCATTCTACCCACTTGGCTAGTGGTTTTTTTGGTCCTCTGAACTTCCAGTTTCAAGGTCTCCAAGTATCAAAATGTGTGTAGTTCTTAGGTCACGGGGATTGGGAACTGGGAACCCAAAAATGTAAATTGTGGAGAAGGGTAGGCCAGCTCATTTGGTACGCTACAGCCTCACAGCTCTTCAACTGTAGTCTGACCAAGAGCCCCAGGGCATCTGCTAGGTGTCAAAAGGCAGAAGAATGACAACCAGCACCCTGGAAAGCTGCATTTTTTACTGTCTCTCTCATCAGCTGTGTGATCTGGGTCAGATATTTTACTTCTCTGAACTTCTGTGTCTCTAACTATAACATAAAGGAGGATGGGACTAAATGGTTTAAAAAACAAAGAGGTATTTTAAGAAATTCATATAGAATAACCCAAGAATTATGTTTGTACATACCACTCTTATTACTTTGCCATATTTGCTCCTTTATATGTTTTTAAGATACCTTTGAAAACTCTTCTGAATCCCTCCCTAATCCCATCCTTCTCTCTTCATCCCTGAAAATAATCATTATCTCATTACTGGGGTTTATCATTCCATGTATATTTATTATGCTATAACTACACCTGCTCACAATGTGTTGCATCATTTTGCTGATTTTTTTACTCAAAATGGATGGCACAACTATTCTTTTTTTTAGACATATTATTGTTTATTGGAGTTTAAATGTACTTCTTTCCATTTCACAAGCTTTGTGAAGGACCAAATAGTAAATAGACATTTTTTTTTCGTTTGATTTTTTTTTTTTTGAGAGGGCATCTCTCATATTTATTGATCAAATGGTTGTTAACAACAATAAAATTCTGTATAGGGGACTCAATGCACAGTCATTAGTCAACCCCAAGCCTAATTTTCAACAGTCTCCAGTCTTCTGAAGGGTAACAAACAAGTTCTTACATGGTGAACAAGGTCTTACATAGTGAATAAGTTCTTACATGGTGAACAGTACAAGGGCAGTCATCACAGAAACTTTCGGTTCTGATCATGCATTATGAACTATAAACAATCAGGTCAGATATGATTATTCGTTTGATTTTTATACATGATATATATGTGAATCCCACATTTCTCCCTTATTATTATTATTATTATTATTATTATTATTTTTAATAAAATGCTGAAGTGGTAGGTAGATGCAAGATAAAGGTAGAAAACATAGTTTAGTGCTGTAAGAAGGCAAATGTAGATGATCAGATGTGTGCCTATGGACTAAGTATTAATCCAGGCTAGACAAGGGCAGCAAGACATCCACGGATGCAGAAGATTTCTCTCAAAGCAGGGGGGGTGAGGTTCTGAGCCTCACCTCTGTTGATCCCCAAATTCTCACCTGATGGCCCCCCTGCGACTGTGCCTGTCTTAGGTTGTTCCTCCCTTGAGGAATCTTACCCGTCTCTGGCTAACCAGTCATCTTCCGGGGCCATACAGGGAAATGTAAAGTTGGTAAGTGAGAGAGAAGCCATATTGTTTGAAAAGGTTAGCTTTTTACTTCTTTGCAGATTTATGCCCTGTGGCTTCTATGCCCAGCATTTGTCTTGAGGTATCTTTACCACTTGGAAGAATTATGATACTCAGTAATTTTCGATATGAGGCACTAATTCTACTAAAGGGTTGTAATTAGGAAGGAAGAAGAAAAGCTATAGAAGTAGCAGACGGAAGAAAACATGGGAAGATTGATTATTTCTTTGACATATCTTCTGGCACAACTATTCTTATCCTTCTTCCATTTACTTTTTAAAAATGTGATTTCATGTTTTCGGGTTAATCCATTTTGATGCACGTGACCCTACTTTGCTCTGTGTGCCCCATTAAATGAATATACCACTTATAGCTATGCTACTGAGGACAAATCTTAAGTTGTTCAGATCAGAGAAACTTTAAGACAGCCTCCAGTTTGAATCTTCTAGGATTTGGCATAAAAACATGATATTTTTGAAAAAGTTTTATAGTAACACCTTTGGCTTTTACCATTGTACTCAGGTGTCCACTTTTTTAAATGATTCCTGTGGGCATGTGCAAGATTGCCAGAAGCTTGGTCTTGGACCAAGGGGAGTCATCCCTATGTTTCCTGAGCACTGAGAGGCTGTGTCCTCGGTGGCTAAAAGCACAGACTTTGGAAGCAGTCAAACTTTGGTTTGCATCCTTATTTTGCCATCTGTAACTTGAATGATCTTGGACAAATTATGTCCTGAATTTCCTCATCTAGAAAATGGGGAAAACAATTGCATATGGCTGTTATAAGGATTCGAGAAGGCATGTATATAAAATACTGTGCAGCATGCCTGCCACCTAGCAAGTGCTAGATAAAGTGATAGAACATATAGTATGTGTGTGTGTGTGTGTGTGTGTGTGTGTGTGTGTGTGTGTGTGTGTGAGAGAGAGAGAGAGAGAGTGAGAGAGCGAGCACTCTGCCAGGACTAGTGGCCTCATTTACTGAGCTTCCCAAGGTATTTCCAACTTTACATGATGCCAAGCACAAGGTTTGTATTTAATAAATATTTGCTAAAAAGACAAGTTCCTTACAAAAATTAAACAAGCCCTTACCATATGATCCAGCAACTGTACTCCCTGGTATTTACTCAAAGTAGTTGAAAACTTGTGCCACAAAGAAACCTGCACATGGATGCTCACAGCGGCTCTATTCATCATTGCCCAAACCTGGAAGCAACCAAGATGTCCTTCAGTGAATGAACGAGAAACTGATGCATCCAGGCAATGGAATATTATTCAGCACTAAAAATAAATGAGGTATCGAGCCATTGAGAAATCTTAAATTACTAGTGAAAGAAGCCAACTTGAAAAGGCTACATACTGTATCATTCCAACTACCTGACATTGTTGAAAAGGCCAAATTATGCAGACAATAAAAGGATTGGTGGTTGTCAGGGGTTAGAGAGGAGGGAGAAAGGAAAAAAGCAGAGCACAGAGGCTCTTTAGAGCAGGGAAGATATTCCTTATGACACTCTCATGGTGTATACATGTCCTTA